TTGAAAAAAAATTGAATCTACACTACCTGAGATAAATTCTATTATAATATGACTAATCATGGCTTTGCTGTTCTTGAGAAGATTTTTAAACTTAAGAGATTTCTTATATATTCCTATGTAAAACTTCGACCCCCTTTTGTGGCCCTGCCCTCCCCCTTGGGATTATGATATGAACAAATTTGATTCTAGAGTTTGTAATGAAGCTTTTATATAAGTTTTATCTTTTATTGCCCAGTAGTTCTTGAGAAGAAGATTTTTAAAACATGCCACCAAATTTTCATGAATTCTTAATTATCTTCCCTTGAAAGACGGTGTGGCACTTACTGTGAACAAATTGAATCCCCTTCACCGAAGGATACTTTCTGGCAGGATTGGTTGAAATTGGCCCAGTGGTTCTTGAGAAGAATTCGAAAGTGCGAAAAGTTTACAGACGACAGACGGACGACGGACACTCTTTGATCAGAAAAGCTCTCTTGAGCCGTAAGCTCAGGTGAGCTAAAAATCAAAACTGCAAAGTTGTTTCCAATACCTCTTTAGAATCATTATGATATCCCTGATTTAAATTTAAAAAAGATTAAATTAACATTAAAAGATAGTGTTTAATAGCTGTTGCTGAATAAATACTCATCACTTGAGTGTTGAACCGGTGGAGAAAGCTGATTTTGACAAATTTTGCCCCCGCCCTGTGTAATTAAAATGGTCAAAAAATTACAAGCTTTTTATAATCATACTGATCTAGATTAACTGTTTTCAATAAACAAAGGTAATAAAATCCAACGGGCAGTTATTGTATCAATTTATTTTGAAAACAGCCCATATATTAGCATGTATGAACATATGTAATGTAAGTTTCAGTTATGAATTACGAATTAATTTTGACTCCATTCTACATGTAATACAAATTTATATTAAAGCCTGTTAACGTTGTTTCCAGATTTTTTTTTTTACTTTTTATTTCTTTTTATAAAATCAAATACAATTACAGGTAATACGTTCTTTCACTTATTTATCTTTAAAACCGGTTTGATTGTGTTTCTGAGAATTCTTCGATATATATATATATATTTTTATTTTTGTGCAATAAATGATATTTAATTGATTATAGAGAGTGTATTAACCTGAATTTTCAACCATTCGTTTAAAGACATACAGAATTTCGAAATATAAAAATAGTTAAATCTTGTTGGCTGGGTGGCTGGTCTATTTTTGTGCCGCAAAAAGTAGTTAGACAACAATCAGGATTTTCTTTTCTTTTAGCACATGTACAGGAGTTCGCATACATGTACCTATCAATTTTACCAAAAATTTCAGTAAATAAAAAAACACGTAATACCTATTATAACAACACAAGGAGTGCAACACATTCTAGGTCACCGGGGAACCCCTCTCTAAATATCGAGGCTGCTGCGCAATCAAATTTCAATTGGAAATTATAAAATAAACAATTTTTTCGGAAGGAACCATTCTTTATGTCTGTTGATGCATATGATTTGAAATGCCTGTTCAAGAACAGTAGTAGTGATATTTCTTCACGAACTGGAATGCGTTGCACTCCTTGTATTATTATCATAGGTATTACGTATTTTTTATATTTACTAAAAAAAAATTGGTAAAATTGACAGGTATGCGAACTCCTGTGCTTTTAGCGAATATGCAAAACACGCGCAGAAAACATTAAAACGATTAATAGCCATTCTCTGTAAGCATTTAAACTCTTACATAGAGAGTGCGGCACGCTATGTCTTAGATTTTTATTAAACTTCGCACACATCCCTATATTGATGTATGAAACTAAAATTCATAATAAAATGATTGCTATTGTCAATGGTTACCATGGCAACCAACATAAAATTTTCATGGCCTAAAAAATGCTAAATTTTGATGAAAAATGACCATTTTTGACAACTTAAAAGTCTTAATTACAATAAGATATTTACATGGCTTCATCTTTTTGCCAAAATACATCATTTTTGTAGTTCTTTAGATAATTTCTAGTATTTGAGCAACTTTACCTAATAGAAAATATATCGCCCGTTTTTAGGCAGGATTTTTCTGGGAAAAAATTGTAGATTTTAGGGCTCTTTTGAAAAACCTGGTATAAAATTTTGCGGACATTTGGGAAAAAATAAATACATTGGTTTGAAAGTCCATATATAGTTCTAATATAAACTGCAGAGAAACTCTTGGTATTCATATTTTGTTTTCATGTTACCATGGTTACAAACTTAAGGCTTTTTTTAAGAATTCCAGACAAGGGCAATAGGTATCTACAATCAGTTTCCATATAAATACCTGAGTATTTTAAAATGGACTAAAACCAAATTTAGCTATGTGGTACACAATAGAAAAAACAAAGAGAAAAATAAATTTTCATGACAAAAGGTCAAAGGTCAAGGTCAAAATAGCTCGATTTAGATGGAAATTTAAGGAAACTAAGCACATTTTTTGTGTCCTAACTAATACTTTTGTTTTAAACAGCATGAATAAACAAAATTACAGTTCTGGTGGACAATAACTAATGTGGCATCACATGAATTGGTAAATACAGACAGAAGGTCAAAGTTCAAGGTCACAATGGTATATAGAAATTGCCTTTTAATCCCCCGCTTTCACTGAAAGTGGGGGATATTGATTTGGGTCTGTCTGACTGTCCATCAGTCTGTCTTTCTGTAACACTTTTGTTTCGGCCCGATGTCTCGAGAAGATCTAGACTTTGAGCCTTTGCAATGAAATTTTGCATAAAAAATCCCTGTGGCCTAGGGAAGACTCCCACTGATTTTAAGGTCAAAGGTCAAGGTCATGAATATATAAATTCTGTTTAAACACTTTATTTCTGTGCGATATCTCGAGAAGCCTTCAAGCTTTTGCATCGAAATTTTAAAGCACAACTTCCTATGAACTAAAAAAGACCCCTATTGATTTCGAGGTCAAAGGTCAATGTCAAAAATTTATACATTCTGTTTTTGTGTAAAACTTTCATTTCCGAGTGATATCTCAAAAAGATTTTAAGCTTTTGCAATGAAATTTTATATCATAACTCCCTATGGTCCCACCCGCTCCTCTTAGAGTGTTCCGTCCCCCACCCCCACCACCCTCCGACCACCACCCCTCTAGATCCGTACATGCTCTTCTTTTTTTCCTTAAGTAGGGGACACAGATTCCCTGAATTAGCTTGTTAGTATAGCATTTATACTTGAATATTGTGAAAGCATATATCCTGTTTTATACACAATTTATTTTACTGAAACTGCATGGTAAATAAATTACATTCTCACCTTTGCTTGATCAGAGACATATAAAAACCATGTTTTATATGTCTCTGGCTTGATGCATAATGTAAAAATGCTATGAGAATGTTTTTTTAAGGTCATTTATTGATAAAAATGTAGCCAAGTCAATTTTTTTTAGGTGGTAAATACTAGTCAAATTTGAAAAAAAAATCTGTGACTATGCGTGCCACAAAAGTTTAAGTGGTTACAGAGAATGGCTATTAAAATGTAAAAATGAATTGGGTAATAATTTAGCGGTAAATAGTAGAAAATGTAGTCCGTGGCAGATATGCTCATTAGCTTTAACAGAGTATTTATTTATCAACATTTAGTAAAGAAACTTAAAGTTTCCCTTGCGCATGTATGTCAAAAAAAAAAAAAAAAAAAAAAGAGAGAAAGGAGGTTTATTAGTTTAGGCGAAAACAATTTTGTAAAATATCATTCATTTGAAAAGTGAGACGATTTTAATAATGTTCTTGTTTAATAAATGTATTTTTATGCCTCTCCAAATTTCATATATATGTGATCTAATATCTATGCTTATGAATTCATAAATTTTGCAAATAAACTCAGAATCGCCTGCACCAGAGTTCATACTTACTCCTATAAGAATACACTATATGAGATGATGTCCGTAAACTATACTCGTATTTAGATTTCATTCGCATACATGTAGTAATTAACCTAATTTTAATTAAAAGGCTTCTTTCATTTTCGATAAACAGCCATGAAATAGCAAAAAAGAAGATATGGTGGTAGTTATAGTTGGCGAATCTAACATACTGGAAATTTTTATAACTTATTTACTTACAACAAGCAATCGTTTATTTATTTCATAAAACGTCATCACTTAATTATTCAATCAAAACTTGATTTAACTGATATTTAAGAAATAATTTATTATAACTGATTAAAAAGCAAAATGTGCAAATCGTTTTCGTAATTCACCTTAGTCGAGACAGAAATTTCTAGAACATCATATGGCATCGAGCCCGATGTTAAAAAGAAAAACGAGGCGATTTTCACTACTTGACTGAATGTTTAAAAAAAAGCTTTGGTGTGCATGGGCATGAAAGTAATGGTAAAGCAATTGATAACACTTTATGTTCTGAATATATCTGTATATCAAAAGATTATTAGTTGGTTGTACTAATAAATTTATCAATAAATTGTGCATATTTGCCACTGAGATCATGGCAACGAACCCGAAGTACAGTTTGTATTTCGTTTAAACTTGCTTACATGTAAAGAGAACGTCCATTAATGAATATTATGGTATTGTTTAAATATTAACTAAAGCTGTTAAAAATGTGTGCTTTAATCAATACATTTTTTTCTGAATACAGTCTTTTGTATTAAACACTCGGCTTATACATAGGGTGTTAAAAGCTCACTTTTACAAAAAAATGTGCTGACAAATTATTCAGTAAAAAATGCATATTCGCTATTTTACCCTTGATGGAAATGGAATAAGAACAACCGAAGTACAATACCTATAACGTATCAAAATAAACGTCTTTTCATGTTTGTAAAAAAAGGGGGGACGTATATTTACTTCTGCTCCGACACTAACTGTGGATTTAGAACAAAGTATTTCTTTCTGCTATAAGTCTGTAACTATCAGTAGAAACGATAATATATATTATTGGAATTGTTCTGTCAGTAGTGGTAAAAAGTCAATTCCCCGCGTTTGCGCGGGATTTCATCTAGTGGCTTCTGTATTTTTAGAAAATGAACTTATCCCTACGAGTTCTAAAACTAACACTTGCCTGTGCTCTAGGCATCGTAACCATCATCATTATCAACAATAGGTACAGCTCAAGAAATGTTGTCATTCAGACCAACGCATTAACAGGCGAACAAACGTCACAAACAAAATGTGGCGAACATGACGATGACTTTCGATTTTCTGGATTGGAGACCGTCAAACCTTTGACAGAAAAAGTCCCCATGAAATTTCGAAGCAAGGAAGCGTCATGTTCACAAAAGAATTTTTTGAAACTAAACGATCAGCTAACTTTTGAAGAAACAAGACGAAAAATGGAGTGCGCAAGAAACTGGGTCAAGGACCACAAACAGGGAAGTGATGCGTTCTGGATGGGGAATACTCAGTATATTCGTCACTCACATCACACGTACTTAAATAAGGATAGCACGGTTTTCGATATTGGCGGAAATAAAGGCGAAGATGCAGAGGCCATGATAAAAAGATATAATCCCGGAACTTACGTCATACTGGAGCCAATCAAAACTCTGTTTTCAAAGCTGGTCAGAATGTTTGAAAGCAACAAAAAAGTCACATTATATAACTTTGGTCTGGCCAGAAAAGATGAAAAGTTCTACGTAAATGTCTTAGGCCATGGAGGAGATGCTACGTCCATTTTTTCTGGAAATGATAATGGCGGAAGTTGTTTGCTACGAGTCGTAAACACAACCCAGTTTCTTTTACAGGTGGGTATTTCTTGTTACGAAGTGGACTTGATAACCATAAATTGTGAAGGTTGTGAATTTGAAATAATGGAAGAAATTCTAGCAAGTGGAATGATCGGTCAGTTTAGACATATTCAATTTGCTACGCATCCTACATTGAAACATCTGAAAAATCCTGCAGAAAGATATTGTGAAATTCAAGAAAAACTTAAGAGGACCCATAAAGCTTCATATCAGTATAAATGGTGTTGGGAAAGTTGGACACGGAAGGATCTTCTTTAGATGTATTTGATAGAATATGTGAACATGACTTGAAAATGCCTTGAAGGAGGGATTCTTGTCATATATATATATATATATATATATATATATATATATATATATATATATATATATATATATATATATATATATATATATTTATTTATATATATATATATATATATATATATATATATATATATATATATATATATATATATATATGTATGTATGTATGTATGTATGTATATATGTATGTATATATATAAAATTCAAAAGTACTTGATGATGTCACACAGTAAAAATAATCATAAAAGAAAACGAAAATGTACAGTTTCCAAATTTCATTCAACACAAACCCTTTCTGGATTGCATAATCTGTCTTCAGGTGTACATAACATAACAATGTTATGCACACCTGAAGACGGATTATGATATATTATATATATATATATATATATATATATATATATATATATATATATATATATATATATATATATATATATATATATATATATATATATATTCGAAAAACTTATATCCCCTAATTATACATTTCATTATCTTCATAAAATCCTTTTAAGACTTTTATTGTTTAAAACTGTTAAAGTAAAGGCATTATTCTGTTGTAAATTTAAAATGCAAAATTTTGTGATAATTTTCCTACATGTATGCTGCTGTTCTGACAAAGTATAGTTCCTGTTAGATTTTAAATTCAGTGTACCATTTTTTGTAAAGTTGTACAGTTGTAAGAGGTCAAGAAAAAATATGTTCTTATAAATTCCTAATATTTCAATATAAAAGGCATTTATGCAAATATTCCTCAATATTTCAATAAGTCGAAACCAGACAAGAATCCCTCCTTAAAAAAGAATTCATTTCACTGTTAACTTGAAACAATTTTCTCCTGTCTGTTTGCAGTTTGTCTTCTACAAAGCAATATGGAAACAAAAAATGCATCATTTTTCAATGCATTTTATAGGATATCTACATTGTAGTCTGGCACACTTAAAGCAAAAGTACTTAAGAGCATTTGTTGTACAAATACACTGAGCAAAGTTTCTGTCTAGTTTCAAAATACAAATCTATTGACCCGTTTTTATTTTGTTTAACATAATTTAAGTGAAAACGTGAAAGTTTGAAAATTGTAATAATTCTATGATTCTCTGTTTCAAGATTATATACAGTGTATATATATATATATATATATATATATATATATATATATATATATATATATATATATATATATATATATATATATATATATATATATATATATATATATATATATATATAAGAGAAGAGAGGAATAACAAAATTCAATCGAGATTTTAGTAATAGAAGCAATATGCAAAGGTTTGAAATTAAAATTTTGCAATGGTCGGGGATTAAAAAAAAAAGGAATAGCTTTGTCGAAACAAGCTGTTATGGACATAGAAACACCTCTATTTACTGATAAGCTCAAAGCAGTTCAAGATAATATATCATATAATCGATTCAGATGACTGATGACTTAACATCCACCACAGTGAATTCATTATGCAAACGAATGTGTTTACATAAATTTTCATGGATGTCAATTTGATCGATATGTTGTAGAAGTATTTTCCTGTGAAAACTTTTTCTCCCTCATAGTTATTGACAGTCAATATTTATACTCATGTTATATTATCTAGACTATACGTTAATAGCCTCATAAGTAATATCTCGTTCAGTACATCTACAAGTAGTTAGTTATTCCGTCTTCAATGGAATACCTTGAAGATCCTTTTCAATTGCAACTTTTTCTTTTTCTCTTTTATTTACGTGCAACAACTTGCGGAGGGAATGTTGCATTGGTAATTCATGTACGTGTGTGTCTATGCGTGTGAGAGCTTAATTATAGGCAAAATTTAAGTAGCCTTATACGTAGGATCATTAAACTTTGTGTAACCCTGCTATAGGTCAATCCCTTTAAAATTTCATTATTGCAGCCCGGAGGACCGGGCTGCTCTATACATATAAGTTTAAGTGTTGGTTAATGGGGATTGAGGTGGGAGAAGTTATTCAGAATTAAAGGTTTTCTAAACATTAAAAAGATTGTTAATCAGAATGTTCTTTCCCTTTATAAATTACGAGATACACAATATATTTACTTCCATAAAGTGAATCTGTAAAAATATATACGTTTTTCATATTTAATATATAAAGTTGCTTATCATTTACTATCGAAAAAACGACAGGTCCCTTTTTTAGAACATCGAATTTTACTTATCGCATAAAAACGTAAAAATGTACTTTACACAGTTCATATTTTATATTCTTAAAGTGAAAGATATTTTTGAAAATAGGTGATGCATTGTCTGGTTTCAAATTATATTTTATGCAGCCAACATTTACTTGAGGAATTGATAAAATTTAAAAGGGTATCGTTTTTGTTCGATTTTCATCCGACTATAAGTTTTCAAAATATTCTCGACTATCGTCTCCATCATTTAGACGCATGCCTTTTTCACACATATCGAAGCGGTTTGATGATAAAGACTCATTTCCATTGTTTACTTTATTTACTTCCCGGGCGACAATTGATGGTTACATCAATGTTTTCTTGTTTTCCTTTGATTTGTTTCTCGGGAAATTGAGTAATTATAGTTCGAATTTTATTTGAGGGTAAACAATTATAGAGAATCATAAACAAAAGGGTTACATGTAACTAATATAACTTTATGTGTATGAAAACTGTTAACAACTGAAAACTGTCAACTTTCATGTAAAGCCCCCAAATATATTTTTATATTGGTTTCCACTTTGCCGACGTTCCAACCTCATTTTATATGCATAATTATATCTTTATAAGTTTAAGGCGTTATAATACTGGAGATCATTTAACATATAACATCCCATCTCTGATGTTTTAGAGGTCCGTGTTTGCTTTGCTCCTGATTAATATTGTTTAAATGGACTTTTGAGCTTGAATACTGTTCGTTATCTCCATATATTTCGTTACATCTCGATATATATTTGGTACTCTTCGCGATTTTCGAACTTTCTAACAATTACTATGGAGGTGAAAAAGCTACCATCCGAAAACTTAAGGAGGATCATTAAACCCACGGTTTATTTCATAATATTATACTTTCATGTAAATAAGTTGAATCTGATTCGTCGAGAAACATTTGTTAAAAAACACTATTACCCGCTGAATGACGAAGCCACGCCCTCCAGCATAGCAACAGTCAACATTGGCTGACAACGGGTGATATTCCAAAAAATATTTATCTCTTTAAAGAATTTATGCGCACAAGACTTACTGTTACATGTATTTGCATTAAACATTCAGTATAATATAATAAATATTGCATGTAGTTGATTGTAACATTAAAAATTTTCACACACCCCCCCCCCCCCCCGAAAACCATCGTCAACCTCGGATGCGCCTCGGTTGACAATGGTTTTCTTGAGGTGAAAATTTTAAATGTTGCACTCAACTACATGCAATATTTATATATTTCATCACAGCACCACTCATTATGTTATTTTAAATACCCAAAATGATGAGTACGATATATGAGGTTTTTTTAGTGATCTTTTGATTATTTTTATTATTTTAGTTAAATATTTTAATTCAAGTCTATAATCAATAGAATTGTAGATGTCATAGTGTCAAATGATGGATATCTTCTTCAGACTTGTAAAGAAAATGATAACACTTCATTATATTCAATATTATTTTTATTAGAAACAAATATTTTTCATCAAAAAACAAATAATGTGCTTTTCTTCGTGATAAGCACATGAATAATTTGTAAAATCAGTAATAAAGAGACAAGAAATGTATGACAATGAAGAATTAAAGTACTGTAAGTACTGATAGACGGTGGAATGTTTAACGTCCTTCTCGAGAATTTTCACTCATATTGAGACATCACTGTTGTTGTTGGTGGGCTACAAATTTATATCTATATTCAGCACTCCAGGCCATTGAGTAGTGAGGGATCTTTTTCTGACCAGCACTTACTGCGACACGGGACCTCGGTTTAACTATCTCCACGTCCCGCAGTGGGATTCGAACCCTCTACGTAAGGATCGACTCCTTCATGTTCGTGACTCTAGAGCAATCGCTAACCACTGCGCCACACGGAGACTGGCATTGAATGAGATAAGATATTATAAAAATCTGTAAAATGATATGATGGAAACTATGAAAGTTTATTGCAATTTTTCACGATGCATGTTTTTTAATAAGTAAATTTATATTTCCGTAGTATAATGAGGACATGTATTGATTGGAGTTGTTAATGTATTGCATGAGATTTTCTACATTAGGTTTATTATAAAATAAGGATTGAATAAAAAAACTATCCTGAAATGCCAGAAACGAAACTTCGATCATTTCAGGGTTTTTTTTTCTATATATGTACTATTGTGGTGTACAGTCATAATTGCAAATTTAAAAATGAAAATATATTTAAGGATGATGAACAGATTAAAATTATATATTCAGATAATGGATTTTGGGATGTTTTCGTATTTTTCCCCACAAATAAATGCTTGAAAGGTGTCAAAACCAGTTTACCCTAAATGTTAAATCATAAGGAAATCAAGGTTCCTAATATACTTATGTAGTGATCGAACATTTTTATTCTAAGATGCATGTTTTACAAAAATGTGTAATGAAATCGTGGTGCTTTGAAGTTAGAAATTTTGACTTTATAATTTCAAATCTTTACTCAGTGTTCAATAATGAAATTTTGCACACCCCCCCCCCCCAAAAAAAAGAAAATATGAACAATTTTTCGTAACTTATTGGAGAAGTTTTTGAAATTTTGAGTAGAATTGAACCCACAATATTTTTTAACAAAAACTTACTTTTCATAAAGTATATGGTAAAATGGGAAATGATGAATCACTTTTGGCCATGTACTGTAGATTGTGCGACATAAATCATATGCTGAAAGATATAAAATAGACTTTATCTTTGGATTCCCATCTTTGCCAAATTCCCTGGCTGTAATTAACTTATTTCTAAAAGCTTGAAAGACTTCA